TGGTAAGGCGAAGCTTGCTCGAAACCCCGCGCGTGGCGAGATCATGGCGCTAGCCACGTCGAGACCGCCAGAAATCCGCGCGTGGCGAGGTCTTGGCGAAGCCAAGCCGAGACCGCCAGAAATCAAGTCGAAGCGACTGGACGCGAGTTGAACGGTTCGTTTCGACGATCAGCCGTAACTTGGGCGGGCTGCTAGCAGCTTGCCAGCTAGAGCGGGGCTAGTACGTCCCTCGCGGAGCATAGGGGGAGGGCAATTGGCCCGACTCAAAAGAGCTGTCAGTCCAGGACGGTTCGCTAAGCGGCGCCAATCTACGCAGAACGATGAAGCCTCCGTAGGTTTCGCGTGGGTCGAAAGCCGCCCAGGCTGTTAGTTCGACGCAGGTTAGCAGTTAAGCCTCCTCCCGTCATTAGGCGACAATCAGGCCGGCTCCATGGCAGCCAAGACTTCGTCCATGCCGATCGTCGCGAACGTTGAGGCGTAGTCGGACATCGCGTAAGGGAGTATCAGCACGCCCTCGTGGACGGCCGCTCCGCAGCTGTAGACGACGTTCGGCACATAACCTTCGCGTTCGTTCTCGTCGGGAGTGACCAGCGGATGTCGCAGTCGGCCGATGACGCGCGAGGGATCGTCGCGGTCGAGCAGCAAGGCGCCGATGCTGTACTTGCGCATCGCGCCGACGCCGTGGGTGAGCACCAGCCAGCCGGCGTCTGTCTCGATCGGGGACCCACAGTTGCCGATCTGCACATACTCCCAAGGGAAAGTCGGCCTGACAATGATCCGCTTCGAGTGCCAAAAGTAGAGGTTGTCGGACTCCATCAAGAAGAGGTTCTCGCCGTCTTGCCGTGAGATCATCACGTAGCGGTCGTTGACCCGGCGCGGAAAGAGAGCAAAGCCCTTGTTCGCAACGCCTGGCCCGTTGAGGGTGTGCATTCTGAACCGCAGGAAGTCAGCGGTCTCAAGCATCTGAGGCAGCACGACTTTGCCGTCGTACGCGCTGTAGGTTGCGTAGTACCGGATGTCTCCGTCCGGTTCTTCGAAACAAACGAAGCGGGCGTCTTCGATCCCCGCCGACTCGGTTGGGCTGTAAGGGAGGATGAGCCGCTCTGACAGCTTGGTGTCGGTAGGGTAGATGATCTCGTAATTTGATTTCGCGAGCGCCACGATCCCGTCGTAGACCGTTAGATGCTCTTGATGACGGGAGCGGTTCTCGCGGACGGTGAGCAGTAGCGCGGCGTCGAGTTGCTCAAGGGAGAACTCTTCGTCGAGGCGGTCCATCACGTGATTGGTGAAGACGCCGGCTAACCCGAGCTCGGTCAGCTTCCGATGGAAGAGCGTCTTCTGGTATCCCGGGTCGGGCAGAACGTCGGGCGGCGTGGCGAAGCGGGTGGGCTCGTCCATCTCGATCCGGCATTGGGCGTCGATGACGCCGGTCCGGAAGGTGATCGACGAGAGGTGGCCTTCGCCGGTGGCGCGGAGGCTCACGACAAAACGCTTCGAGCCTACCGATAACCCCGCCTGATCGGGATGCCAGACAATCGACGGGTTGAAGAGCGCTGCCGATTCAACGGCGTACTCTTGCGTGAAGTAAGCCCCAATCAAGAGTTGCCGGTTCTCGCTCAGCGGCGCGTCGGTGATCAGGTGCTCGCGGACCCTGTCAAATCGACGGAGCAAGAAGTCGCGTGGCCGCTGATGCCGGCCGTGGAACTCCTCGACGATGTGAGAGAGTTGCTTATCGACCTCTTCCTCCGACAACGTGGCAATTCGCGCAATGATACGTAGCTTCCGCTCCTCGGGGAACGGAATAAAAGGTCGTAGAATGACCCGCCGGCTATTGGGGGAGAGAACGATCCCAGTTCTTTTAATCTGCATGCACAAGTCGTAGGGCTTGGTGATTTTCCGGAGCGGAAGCCGCGGGGGGTGATTTCGTGGGGGCGGCAATTAGCAGCGAGCTTTCCAGCTGCTCCATCTCGGCGAGCGACAGGAGGAACGCTAGCGTCGATTCGGCGCCTTGGTTCTCGTTGACGCGGCCCTCTTGTAGACCGTCGTGGCAGCCGCCGGTGCCCGAGTCGTAGAGCGGCTGACCGAGATCGTTACGGCAGAGGAACCAGTCGAACGCGAGGTGGGCTTGGTTGAGCCAGAAGGGGTCCCCTCCGGCGTTATGGGCCTCGATCGAAGCCGAGATCATCGCGTTGGCTTCGATCGGCTGCTGGTCGTAGGCGGCGATTGGCTCGCCGCGCCGACAGAACCCATTGCAACCGATGGGCCGGAAGCGGCCCTCGGGCGAGAGCTGCTTGACAGCCAACCATCTGAGCGATGTCAGCCCGATTGTGAGGGCCTTCTCGTTGCCGCTCCAGCGTCCGCTGAGGATCAGCGCGTGAGGTAGTTTCGCGTTGGCATAAGAAGCGACCTCCTCGAACCACGGCCA